GTGTTCAAGTGATTTTCAAGCCTCAGCCTCCCGAGTAGCTGGGACTACAGGCATGCGCCACCACGCCTGGCTAATTTTTTCCTTTTCTTTCTTTTTTTTTTTTTGAGATGGAGTCTCGCTCTTGTCTCCCAGGCTGGAGTGCTATGACACAATCTCAGCTCACTGCAACCTTCACCTCCCGGGTTCAAAGGATTCTCCTGCCTCAGCCTCCTGAGTAGCTGGGATTACAGGTGCCTGCCACCATGCCCAGCTAATTTTTTGTATTTTCAGTGGAAACAGGGTTTCACTACGTTGGCCAGGCTGGTCTCGAACTCCTGACCTCAGGTAATCCACCAGACTCGGCCTCCCAAAGTGCTGGGATTATAGGCGTGAGCCACCATGCGCAGTCCTACTTTGATTTTTAGATCCCACAAATAAGTGAGAACATGGGATGTTTGTCTTTCAGTGCCTGGCTTATTTCACTTAATATAATCATCTCCAGTTTCATCCATGTCATTGCAAATGACTGGATCTCATTCTTTTTTATGGCTGAATAGTATTCCATTGTGTATATGTACCACATTTTCTTTATCCATTCATCTGCTGATGGACACTTAAGTTGCTTTCAAATCTTAGTTATTGTAAACAGCGCTGCAACAAACAGGAATGCAGATATCTCTCTGATATACTGATTTCCTTTCTTTTGCATATATACCCAGCAGTGGAATTGCTGGTTCATATGGTAGCTCAATTTTTAGTTTTTTGAGGAGTTTCTAAATTGTTCTCCATAGTGGTTGTACTAATTTGCATTCTCACTAACAGTGTGCAAGGGTTCCCTTTCTCCACGTCCTTGCCAGCATTTGTTATGGCCTTTTAGATATACGCCATTTTAACTGAGTTGAGATGATATCTTATTGTAGTTTTGATTTGCATTTCTCTGATGATCAGTGATGTTTAGCATCCTTTCGTATGCCTGTGTGACATTTGTATGTCTTGTTTTGAGAAATGTCTATTTAAATCTTTTGCCCAGCTTTTTTGATCAGATTGTTAGATTTTTTTCCTATAGAGTTGTTTGAGCTCCTTATATATTCTTATTATTAATCTCTTGTCAGATGGGTAGTTTGCAAATATTTTCTCCCATTCTGTGGGTTGTCTCTTCACTTTGTTGATTTTATCCTTTGCTGTGCAGAAGCTTTTTAACTTGATGTAATCCCATTTGTCCATTTTTGCTTTGGTTGCCTGCGTTTGTGGGGTATTTGTGTGGTTGTGGCCTGTGGTTGTGGTGTTGCCCAGACCAAGGTCTTGGGGATTTTGCCCAATGTTTTCTTGTAGTAGTTTCATAGTTTGAAGTCTTAGATTTAAGTCTTTAATCCATTTTGATTTGATTTTTGTATGTGGTGAGAGATAGGGGTCTAGTTTAATTCTTTTGCGTATGGATATTCTGTTTTCCCAGCAGCTTTTATTGAAGAGACTGTTCTTTTCCCTAATGTATGTTCTTGGTACTTTTGTCAAAAAAGAGTTCTCTGTAGGTATGTGGATTTGTTTCTGGGTTCTCTATCCTGTTCCATTGGTCTATGTGTCTGTTTTTATGCCAGTACCATGCTGTTTTGGTTACTATGGCTCTGTGGTATAATTTGAAGTCAGATAATGTGATTCCTCCAGTTTTGTTCTTTTTGCTTAGGGTAGCTTTGGCTATTCTGGGTCTTTCGTGGTTTCATATAAATTTTAGAATTTCTTTTTTCTATTTCTGTGAAAAATGTCCAGTATTTTGATAGGGATTGCATTGAATCTGTAGATGGCTTAGGGTGGTGTGGACATTTTTAGCAATATTGATTCTTCCAACACATGAACACGGAATGTTTTTCCATTTTTTTGGTATTTTCTTCAATTTCCTTCATCAGCGTCTTACAGTTTTCATTATAGAGATATTTCACTTCTTTGGTTAAGTTAATTCCTAGGTATTTAATTTAAGTGTGGTTATTGTACGTGGGATTACTTTTTAAATTTCATTTTCTCCCAGCACTTTGGGAGGCCGAGACGGGCGGATCACGAGGTCAGGAGATCGAGACCATCCTGGCTAACACAGTGAAACCCCATCTCTACTAAAAAAATACAAAAAACTAGCCGGGCGAGGTGGCAGGCGCCTGTAGTCCTAGCTACTCGGGAGGCTGAGGCAGGAGAATGGCATAAACCCGGGAGGCGGAGCTTGCAGTGAGCTGAGATCCGGCCACTGCACTCCAGCCCGGGCGACAGAGGGAGACTCCGTCTCAAAAAAAAAAAAAAAAAATTTCATTTTCATATTGTTCACTGTTGGCATATAGAAATGCTACTGACTCTTTTTTTGTTTGAGACAGGGTTTCTGTTTCCTAGGCTGGAGTGCAATGGCACAATCTCAGTTCACTGCAACTTCTGACTCCTGGGCTTAGATTATCCTCCTACCTCAGCCTCCCAAGCAGCTGGGACTACAGGTGTACACCACCATGCCTGGTTAATTTTTATATTTTTTTGTAGAGATGGGGTTTTGCCTTGTTGCCCAGGCTGGTCTCAAACTCCTGGGCTCAAGCAATCCATTTGCCCTGGGCTCCCAAAGTGCTGGGATTACAGGTGTGAGCCACTGTTCCCAGCCTGCTGCTGGGTTTTGTATGTTGATTTTGTCTCTCGCAACTTTACTGAATTTGTTTATCAGTTCTAATAGTTTTCTTGTGGAGTCTTTAGGTTTTTCCAAATATAAGACCATATCGTTAGCAAACAGATAATTTAACTTCTTCCTTTCCAATTTGGATGCCCTTTATATCTTTCTCTTGTCTGATTCTTCTAGCTAGGACTTCCAGTTCTATATTGAATAACAGTGGTGACAGTGGGCATCCTTGCTGTGTTCCAGCTGTTAGAAAAAAGGCTTAATTTTTTCCACATTCAGTAAGATACCAGTTGTGGATCTGTCATATATGGCTTTTATTATGTTGAGGTATGTTCCTTCAATACCCAGGTTTCTTTGAGGCTTTTTATCATAAGGGAATGTTGAATTTTATCCAATGCTTTTTCAGCATCAATTAAAATGATCATATGATTTTTATCTTTCATTCTGTTGATCTGATGTATCGTGTCAATTGATTTGTGTATGTTGGAACTACCCTTGTATCCCAGGGATAAATTCCACTTGGTTATGATGAATGATCTTTCTAATGTATTGCTGAATTCGGCTTGCTATTATTGCTGTTGAAGATTTTTGCATCAATATTCATCAGAGATGAATTTTGACCTGTAGTTTTCTTTCTTTTTTTTTTTTTTGATGTGTCTTTCTCTGGTTTTGGTATCAGGGTAATACTGGCCTATAGAATGAGTTTGCAAATATTCCTTCCTCCTCTATTTTCTGGAATAGTTTGGGTAGGATTGGTATTAGTTCTTCTTTAAATGTTTGGTAGAATTCAGCAGTGGAGCCATCAGGTTCTGGGCATTTCTTTACTGGGAGACTTTTTATTACAACCTTGATCTTGTTACTTGTTATTGGTCTGTTCAGGTTTTGAATTTCTTCCTGATTCAATCTTTGTAGGTTGTATGTACCTAGAATTTTGTTCATTTCTTCTAGACTTTCCAATTTATTGGCATACAGTTGCTCAATGAGTGGATTTTTAAAAGTAAAAGAAGGAGACAGAGAAGGATTGATATAAAGTTATTTGTTAGGAATTTTCATTGGTTTACAGAAATAACATTGATTAGTGATTGGCTATACATCCTTTAGCTATAGGGTGTGGGTTATAGTGTCTGGCGTGTTGCTCTTAGGTTAATTTACAGCTACTTGTGACGATAGCAAGCAATTTCAAGAGATGAAGACATAGCTCAAAGAGGGGAGTAGGCATGAGTGCAGTTTCATTATAATGTCTCCTTGGGCCTGATAATGGAAAAAAAACCTTGCATTTCTCAGATAAAAGTCCTTTTTTTTTATTTTTTGAGACAGAATTTCACTCTTGTTGCTCAGGTTGGAGTGCAATGGCGTGATCTCGGCTCACTGCAACCTCCGCCTCCCAGGTTCAAGTGATTCTCCTGCCTCAGCCTCCCCAGTAGATGGGATTACAGGAGCCTGCCACTACGCCTGGCTAATTTTGTATTTTTAGTAGAGACGGGGTTTCTCCATGTTGGCCGGGCTGGTCTCAAACTCCAGACCTCAGGTAATCCGCCTGTCTTGGCCTCCCAAAGTGTTGTGATTACAGGGGTGAGCCACCGTGCCTGGCCAAAAAGCATTATTTTCAAAAGGCTGGGCACCGTGGCTCACGCCTATAATCCCAGCACTTCGGGAGGCCCGCGGGCGGGATCACCTGAGATCAGGAATTTTAGACCAGCCTGGCCAACATGGTGAAACCCCGTATCTACAAAAATTAGCTGGAGTGGTGTCAGGCGCCTGTAATCCCAGCTACTGGGGAGGCTGAGGCAGGAGAACCGCTTGAATTCGGGAGGCAGAGGTTGCAGTGAGCTGAGATTGCACCACTGCACTCCAGCCTGGGCGACAGAGGGAGACTCCTCTCAAAAAAAAAAAATAAATAAATAAAAATAAATAAATAAATAAATAAATAAATAAAAACAAAGAAAGAAAGAAAAAGAAAATTACGCTTTTTTAAGGAAATGAATTTTAGAAGTATGACATATATATCACACAAAAGGTATTTTTCAGTTTTAGGCTAAGGGATATGAGGAGCCACTGCCATTAAGGGTCAGGAAGGGGTCACATGGACTCTTGGGAGCAGCAAGGGATTTGATTACTGATTATTAATTTGTCATATTTTCACGATGTGGGCTATCAGCAAAACATATTTGCCCAATTAGTAAACTATCTAAAGAGAATCTAAGCGCACATACATTTTAGGAAATTAAAAATATAAAATATAACGGTGAAATTGAGACCTTGGATGTCTGCTGCTTCCAACATCGAAAACGCTTTTACATTCCCTTGGTCATATGGCTTTCAAAGCCTGCGTCTGGCTTGGTTCCCAGTTTAGTGTGCTGAGCCCTCGGAACCCGCTCCCTTCCATTCCACACCCTCCGGGATCTCCAATGTGAAAAGGTCTGGCCCCGGGTAGGAGGCTGCAGATAGTCCCCGGGCCCGGGTTCTCGCTGGCCGGCTGCAGCGCGCAGGGTGCCAAGCCCTCCCCTACGAAGTCTGTTTTGTCTCAGGCTGGGCTGAGTCACATAGAATAGATAGATAGTTGATTAGCACATGTCCTCCAGATCATATTATCCGCCTACAAATATAGCCTGTTAGCGCACAGGCACGGGAGGCTTCTTCCGGCTCGGCCGTGCTGCTCAGCGGGTGTAAACAGCGTCTGTGGTGTAAACAGCCGCGGAGGGCAGGCCACGACTGTCAGTGCCCGCCCCTCGGGGCAGGTAAGCGCTGGGCGTCCGAGGTGGCCTGCGGGGCGGGAGCAGGGGGCTTGCGCTCCCCGTGGGAGGACGCGGGCGGACGGCCGGTGCCCTGGGCGCTCAGTTGTTTACGCCTTCCTCCGTGCCTTGGTGACCTGCAGTCGGCGGGAGCAACCGGGGTAAACGTCCCTAACCGGACAGCGGCTGGGGCTTAGGCATCGAAGGTATCTGAGGTCCAGGACTATGGTGGGATGGCGAGAAAGGAGAGAGCGTGGGGAGGCGGGTGTCCCCGCGAGTGAATCTTGCTCCGGGTTAGCGGTTCCCCTGCGGGTACTGCCCCGGTGCCCAAGGCTGAGCCCAAAGCTTTCTGGTCCAAAGAGCTGTCCAGGGGAGATAAATCAACTTTGTTTGTGCCCTGAATGGTATGATTGACACATGGCCCTGGCGGGGAAGTCTTTTCTCCCAGCGTCTCACGCCCCCTGGTTTGGGGTTGGGACAGGCGTGAGGCAAGGGCGGAAAGTGACTGGAGACCCAAAGGAGGAGAAATTGTCTGGCTTGTTAGCCGCTCTGCCCTGTTGCTAGCTCTTCTGCTGGACCAAACCCTCTCCCAGAACTCAGGGACTGGGGAGTTCCCCATTATTCACCCAGAGAACCTCTGCTAATCATGCCAGGTGGAGAAAAATCCTCGGATGCTCACATACCTCTTGTTTTTGTCTTTTGTCACTTAATTGGTGACAGCGATTCTTAGTTTCCTTTCTTTTTACTTTAAGTGATTGAGCTTTTTGACCTTACTAGGTGCCAGGTACTGTCTTAAGCCCTTGACACAATGATCCTACGCGATGTTCTCGCCAACTTGTGAGCTCAGTGCTGTTTGCTCCATCACGTCCACAGGAGAACATAAGCTCAGAGAGGTTAGACCATGTTCTCAGGGACGTGTGGCCAGAGAGTAGGTAGGCAGGGCTCCAGCCCAGGCATCTTGGCCCTGGAACTGCCCTCTTAATCCCGTTTGGACCCTCTGCCTCCCCTGGCTGAATGTTCTAGCTTAACAAATTACAATAAAATTAATCAGATGTCCCCAGGGAAACTGTGATCATGTGGCATAAATGTCATTTAATTCAGGATTTGGCTGACTATTCTGACCTTACTTGACTATTTAGCTCCCTATTTACCTCCATTTCTATCAGAAAACTCATTCGTTCATCCCAACCCTGGTGTCCAGGCAGTGGCCTTATGTGAGGATAGAATGGAATTTGTGAGTCACCAAAGATCCTTGGTTGTCATATTATTGCCCGTTGTATCTTGGTGCCCCCAGAAATTCCCATGGGTTACAGTTGTTCTCTTGGATCCAGCAAGGCTGATGATAGAGGTTTTCCTCACATTGATGACACACCTGGAAGGGCGCCGTGGAGGGGAGTTCTGAGAGGCAGGTGTGGAGAAGAGAGCCTCTCTCTGCATGGCTGGTTCAGGTGACCTCTGGCATTAGCTTTGTCCTCCTCTCCTGCTCCATCTCTTGCTCCTGTCCCCCTCCCAGCCTCACAGAGGGAGCACCAAGAATGGCTTGGCACCTGCATGATGAGGTGACTCTCCTCCCAGACTCCCCCAGATCCTTCTTAGGATGCTCTGAGGGGTTAACCCTGCACCCACTCTACACCTCCTACCCAGCAACCCAGTGTCATTTGACAAGAAGGGAGAGGACTAGATGACTGGAAAGCCCCCCCTCCCCCTAGCATATGACTTCTGAGTGGAGACTACTGCCCTGGTGCCAGGGGACATGTTTTTCCAGTCATGCCCTCTGGCTCTGGAAGCGGATGGCTCTGTAGAGTGGATGACTGTAAAGTGGATGGCTCTGTCAAGTGGTTCTGATATAACTGGGTTGGGGAGTGGGGCGTGGAAAGTTATTCAGTCAAACCTGCACTGTTAGCCCTTTCCCGTTCCTCAAGGTCCGGGCGGGACTCTCCCAACCGCTTCCCCTACCCTTTCTCTTTTGGCTCCTACAGGGGTTGGTTCAGCCTCTGTTGTCTAATGAACGTGCTGCGCTGAAAGATATCCTTTGATGCTCTCCCCTCTAGATTGGGAACTTGGAGGCATGGACAAAGCTTCTGTCTGTCTGCATTTTATGAGCACCCATAAATGTCAGGGTTCCTAGGCATTGAAAAACAGAAATACACACTAAGTACGCTGGCTCAGTACACACAGTTTCTGTGTTGAGGTTCAGAAGCAGGAGACTGGCATCTGTAGCCCTTGGACTACTCAAAACCCCTCATTTGATGGCCATAGCACACCTCTCTCTGCAGGGGCTTGGACAAGATGATGGAGAGGCCCCTCCAGTTCCCATCATATGCTACAAATGACCTGCTCAGCTGAACTCATGGGGACCAGGCTGTGAACCCAAGTCTGGGGACTCCCAGGTGGCTGCTCCTGTCAGTAAACTGTGGCTCGTCTATGGCTTGGTCCATGGACATATAAAATATAATGGATCAAATACTTTAACTTCATTAAGTGTTGTGATGTAAATAAACAGTAGACTGAGAAATAAAATAACAGGTGGGTTTACTTTAGATGAGGAGGCCAGGAAGGCCGGACAGGAGAAACATTTAAGGTGGGTTCCAGGGGTGTGGGGAGGAAGCCATGTGACTGGGGGAGGAATGTTCTAGGCTAAGGGAGCAGTGTGTGCTGAGCTCTGAGGGGGAAGAGGCAAGGGGTGGACAAGCACTGAGGAGGGGAGCAGGAGTGTGAGGCGGGATGGGCTGGCCGAGGGCAGACCATGCCAGGGGCTCACTGCCTTTGTGGAAAGCTGGGATCTCACTGTCATTTCAAAGGCAGGCCTCGGGGGGATTAGTGCCAGGTGGTAGCATGATCTAGTTCTCACTGGAAAGTGACTCTCACTATTGACTAGAAGATGGTTTGGATGGAGTTGATTGGGAAGCCAGGAGACCAGTTAGGAGGCCTTTCCACAACTGAGGCAAGGCGTGACACTAGTTGGTGGTGAGAAATGCATGCCCTCTAAGATGTAGGTGATAACTGGATGTGTGGATGAACGTGTGTGTGTGCACACGTGCATGTGTGTGCATGCCGTCTGCATAGTGGGTGGGCAGAGTGAGGAAACGAAGCAAAAGAAGTGACTTCTGGCTGAGCGTGGTGGCTCATACCTGTAATCCCAGCACTTTTGGATGCCGAGGCGGGCAGATCACCTGAGGTCAGGAGTTCAACACCAGCCTGGTCAACATGGTGAAACCCCATCTCTACTAAAAATACAAAAAGTAGCCAGATATGGTGGCTTGTGCCTGTAATCCCAGCTACTCAGGAGGCTGAGGAAGGAGAATTGCTTGAACCCAGGAAGTGAAGTTTTCTTGAACCCAGGAAGTGAAGTTTGTAGTGAGCCGAGATTGTGCCACTGAACTCCAGCCTGGGTGACAGAGTGAGACTTCATCTCAAAAAAAAAAAAAAAAAGAATCAACTTCTAGATCTTCTAGATTATGATGGAGTCATTCCTGAGGTGTGGAATTAAGGGAGGCCCAAGATGGACAGATTCTAAAGGAGCAAGTTTGGAGAACATCATGTTTCTTTCAGATATGTGTGAGATATCCAAGGGCATATTCAAGGAGGCAGCTGAACATGGACACCAGATGGCACCAGAAGTTAACACTGATTTTTATAAGTGCCTTATAAAAATCTACTGTCTTGGTTATTTATTGCTGCATAACAAGTTACCCCCAGGCGTAACAGTTTAGAATAACAAACATTTATTATCTCACAGTTTCTGAGAGTCAGAAATCCGGGGCATTTTAGCTGAGTGTTTCTGGCTTAGGGTCTCACGAAGTTGTGGTCAAGGTGTCCACAGGGGCTGCCGTCATCTGAAGGATTGACCGGGGCTGGAAGATCTGCTTTAAAGATGGCCCCCTCTCATGGCTGTTGACAGGAGGCCTCAGTTCCTTTCCTCGTGAAGCTTTTCCACAAGGCTGCTTGAGCATCGTCATGACATGGCAGCTGACTTCCTAGAGTGAGTGAACTGAAAGAGAGTGAAGACCTAGACTCAGAAGCCACACACCATTACTTTTACCACATTCTAGTCATTAGAAGTGAGTCACTAAGTCTAGCCTACGCTCAAGAGGGGAGGAATTAAGTTCTACCTTTTTAAAGGGAAGAATGTGAAAGACTTTGTGGGTATAGTTTAAAACCATGACATCCACCAAAACAAAATATTTTACATTTTATTGTCCACTAAAGCTAGGATCAGTAAACTATAACCTGCAGGCCTGGCACCTGTTTGCATATGGAATGTGGCCCTGCTGGAGCATCTGGGGACCAAGCTGGAGTATTTTCTTCTGTCCCTATTCCCCCGCTGCTCTCAGCGTCTGTCCACCTGGCCAGCTGTACCTTGCTGCAGGCCAGGGCCAACCCTGGTTGCCATCTACACATTGGAGACTCTATTGTTAGCAACTGCCAGGCTCCAAGCAATGGAATCTCAGTTCAGGAGCTGGTGACTTAGTAGGTCACCTTGCCTCCAGCCAGCTGTCCAACTTGTGATGACTGGAGGAGAGCAGGACACACAGGCACCTGTCTGGGTGATACTGGGGCAGAGAGAGAAATGGACTGTAGCAGGCTCACTCTCCGGCCCCTTCCCCTGCCAACCTCTCACCTCTCTTTTTGTTTTTTTGAGACCCAGGCTGGAGTGCACTGGTGCAATCTCAGCTCACTGCAACCTCCGCCTCACAGGCTCAAGTGATCCTCTCACGTCAGCCTCCTTAGTAGCTGGGACCACAGATGCATGCCACCACCCAGCTATTTTATTTATTTATTTTATTTTCTATTTTTAGTAGAGACAGGGTTTTGCCATGTTGCCCAGGCTGCTCAAACTCCTGAGCTTAAGCAATCCACCTGCCTCAGCCTCCCAAAGTGCTGTGATTACAGGTGTGAGCCGCCACGCCCAGCCCCCCTGCCCCTCTTTCACCATACCTGCTAGGCCTTTCCCTCTTGGGCTAGTCCCTCTTGTTCTGAGGATGTTTTTGGCAAGCAGCAGCTGGACATGAAACATGCTCACTACTCTGGATGGTGCTCTGGAGGCAAGCAGGGAGAGGCTCGCCAGAGGGTTCTCTTGTTATATAAACACCTGCATATATCTTCAATTTTGCTTGTTGGCCTGCAAAACCTCAATTATTTACCATCAAGTTTTCTGAGCCCCGCACTAAAGCAAAAGATTTTCCAGGCATTATTTTCCTTAATCCAATCTTTGAGAGTGTGCTGATGGTTAGCATTTTCACTCAGGAGCTGGAACATTAAGTATCTGGGAGTCCTTGGACTAGAGAGGAACATGGCTGATGACACTCTGTGGCCCCAATGTTCTTTCCTTTGGGTGAGAGATGCCACTGTTCTCCTTCTGTCTCATCATTGCCAGCGTTTTCTTCTTTGGAAGACGCTCCGTGACTGTGGACAGTGTAGCCCAAATGGAGGGAGGCTTGTTTTCATAATTCTGCTATAACCACACAAAACCAGACCCACAGCAGGGAACCGGAATCAGATGCTGTCTTGGAACCATGACACTTTGTTGCCAAATTCAATGAGGGTCCAGGCTGAAGCTTAGCACTTAGGCGGCTTTGTAGAATCCACTTGGTTGTAAAGTTTCCTATTTGCTTTGTTTGTATTGCGGGTCTGCTGACTGGATCCCATAGAGGTTAATTTTTCCCTTTTCTGTGTTGGTGTAGTATATGATGATGACATTTCTATAGTCCTAGAGAAAGTTAATGCTTAGGACATTATATTCTATGTCTCTGCCTGAAAGACTGTGCTGACTAGGGTTTATTCTACAAAGAAGACATTAACTTTGTAAATTTGCTAGGAGATCTCGCCCCTGAGCTGCTGAGGGACTGGCACCTGTGTCTGTCCCTGACAACTGCATCCTGTGGGCTCCCCAATGTGGCTTCTCCCCTGGATGGAACATCTCCTACTTACCCTGGACTGACACACAGACTCTCACTTAAAACTACTTTCCCAGTCTCAGCACCCACCCATGAGCTACTACCTTCTAGGTTAAGGTAAAATTTGTCCAGTTGTCTAGAGAGGTCTGGACTCAGCCCTGTCCTACATGGGATGCCAGGGGCTGGGCTGGACCTGGCACTTAGAACCTTGTATTTCATAGCTTCCCAGCACCTCTGGACATCACATGTAAATCTCTAGCAAATGTGGTCATCACCTACTGTTCTTAGAGTCTCCAGTTTGCATTATACATGTTTGCAAACAAAACTTCATCTTATAGGTAAGATGCAGATTTAAATCCTGGCACATTAAAAGCCCCCTTAATTGTATAAGAGAACCTCTTTTCCTGCTTTTTAAAACATAGGGAAAACGGTGAACATGGTTAGATGACAGACAGGATATACTCTTTCTCACCAAAATACTCAGTGTAGTAATGACTTATAACTACTTAAAAATATGTCAGGGCCTTTGGTAATTAAATTTCAGAATTCCAGGAATTTATCAAAGATGATTAAGCCATTTTTTGTTGACATGATAAAATATTTAGAACACAAAGGCATCAAGAAGAGACCATTCCTCTAAGATGGGAACTAGAATTACATTTATCTAAGTTAATGCATAGAAATTAATAAGCAATGATTTTTAAGACGTAGGAGCAGTTAATGTACAGCTCTGGCTACTTGCCAAGAGCTAACTGGCCTAAGGAAATGAAAGAACCTCAACAACAGAGTCTGTGATGTGTCTGGTTGATCTGGAGAACACGAGCCCTGTGTATAGGGAGTAATTCTTCCAGCTTCAGTTACTCTGGCTGGCAGGGCTGCCCACGCTGCTCAAATGCAGTTAACTTTACTTTGGCTTTTTTGGTTTACGTGGAGACTTGGGTTCTGTACAGAGATTTCCTCCAAAAAGCTAGGCTGATTGATTCTTTTTAGTGTTTCTTCACTACTGGCTGTGGACTTTGATCTTTTTATTTTCAGGCTGGTGTGTAGTGTTCCTTTATGGAAACTTTTAAGTCGAAAGTTGAAGCCTTAATGAAGTAAGATCTTTGCAGGTTAGATACTCCTGAGCTGAAGATAACAGAGTAAGAAAAGTGGTAAAAGAAAAATTAAATGCACTTCTTTTACCTATCGTTTTTATGGTAGACATTTGAAATTTAGCCTTTTAGTGATTTTGAAATATGCAATACATTATTATTGACTATAGTCGCTCAGCTATGCAATAGATTTCAAAACATTCCTCCTACCTATCTGACACTGTACCTTTTGACTAGTAACTCCCCATTCCCTTCCTCCCCGGCCCCAACCTCTTTCTACACTCTACTTCTACAAGTTCAACTTTTTTAGGTTTCATATAAAGTGAGACATACAGGGAACATTCCTTTTCTGACTAGAGGAGCTGTAGCCCAAGAGTGGAACAAACCGTCACGCTTTCTTACTCTCTTAAATCTTCGCTGCTTGGCCGCGACTGTGGGTGCAGTTGTAGGAAGTGCACGGCAGAGCAGGGTAACTACAACACCAAGTTTTGGGCCAGAGGACCGAAAAAGGGAACCCAGCGATCTGGAAAGGACTAGGGAGCTGACAGACAGGGAGGAATTTGGAGAAAACAGCTCCGTAAGTTTGTTCCTGGGCGCCTCCCCGAGTTGCGCATGCGTGGATCTGACCCTAAGCACGCCAGAGATGTTAAACCTGAACACGGGGATAGACCTTCAGCCACGCCGAGACTGGCCACTGGGTGGCGCACACGGAACATAGCTGAATAGCACCACGAAGACTGAAAACGGACCTGACATGGGGATCACAACCCACAGAAGGCAGGTTGGAGTTTGAGGTCTGAACTCAACCAAATTGGTTACCTACGGTGTCAGTTATCAACTTACTGCCTCTCAGCTTTGAATGCGCCACTCAATAAATATACCCTGTGTTTTACAATGGCATTCCTTTAAATATTGGTCCTTTAAAGTGAGCGCAGTGCTATGCTTTCTCTGTAGAAGGCACTGGAGGGACAAGACTTCCTGCCCTTTTTTAGCGTGGGCTGGGGGTCAGCAGTGTGCATGTGAGAATATCCATGGGAACCTGCCCCAAGCATGGGCTCAGAACAGTCCCTTTGCGACTTTGTACCTTGGCTTTGCAGTCACCTTTCTACAGCTCTCTTGAGCCAGAAACAGAGCCCTTGTGCAGCCCACCTGCTCCGAAGACCCCCTGCCTGCACTTGTATTTCGACTTTCTTCGTAAGCCTCCATATTACCTGCACGCAGCTGCCTGTGGCCCTGAGGGTCACATGCCAACCTGCCACGCCTTCTGCAAGTGGCTGTGTGGTCCACACACTCTGAAGGCCATCTGTCCCTTCTAACACCTGGACTTCCATCGCATGCCCTTGCCACCAGTTGCTGATTAGCTGTTTCTACCTGCACTTGAGGGGGTCGTCTATTAGTTGCCCAGCAACTCCAGACTAGTCTGCCCAAACCGGAGGACTTACCTGCTATCTGATGGGCTGAACCCCTTCCAAGTTGGCCCTTCCTTGGATACACTCCCTCAGCCCTGGGGTATGAATGGAAAGACAGAAAAATATCAACACAGAAACAGAAGATATAAATAACTCATTAGAAATTTTAGAAATAAAACGGACAATAATTGAAATAAAATACTGGATAGGCTCACAAACATAATGGAGATGACATAGGGAAGAGCCAGGAAACTTGAAGGTAGATTACTGAGTATTACCAATCTGAAAATAAAAGAGAAGAAAATATTTATCTAAAATGAACAAGCCCTCAAGAATCTATGGAACAATACTGAAAAGTCTAATATTTGTGTCATCAGAATTCCAGAAGGAGAGGAGAAAGAGTGTAATGTAGAAAAAAAATTCCAAGAAATAATGGCTGAAAATCCCCAAATTTGGCAAAAGATATAAATCAAGTGATTAAAAAAGCCAAACAAATCCAAATCAGGATAATCCCCCCAAAAATCCATGCCCAGATATAATAATTAACCTGAAGAAACCCAAAGATGAAAAAGTTTTGCCAGGTGCAGTGGCTCATGCCTGTCATCCCAGCATTTTGGGAGGTTGAGGTGGGAGAATAACTTGTGCCCAGGAGTTTGAGACCAGCCTGGGCGACATAGTGAGACCTCATTGCTGCAAAAAAAAATTTTTTCTAAGTTAGCCTCACATGGTGGTGCATCCCTGTGTTTCCAGCTACCTGAGAGGCTGAGAAGGGAGGATTGTTTGAGCCTAGGAGGTTGAGGCTGCAGTGAGTTGTGATGGCATCACTGCACTCCAGCCTGGGTGACAGAGTGAGATCTTGTCTCTGGAGGGGGAAAGAGAAAAAAAAAAAAGAAAGTAGCAAGAGAAAAATGATGCATCCCCTATAGGAAAGTGTGATTCAAATTATTTCAGATTTCTAATCAGAAACTATGGATGCCAGAAGAAAGTGGCACAACATTCTAAAGGTGCTGATTAATAGAAAAGAAAAGATTGCTTTCAAATTCTATATCCAGCAAAAATAATATTTATGAATGGAGGTAAGAAAAAGACATCCTCAGTTGAAGGAAAACAAAATATGTCAGCATATTTTCTCTAAAATAATTGTTAAGGCAAGTTTTTAGATAGAAGGGAAATTATAACAGAGGTAAACTTGAACAGCAGGAAGGAAGGAACATCAACATATAAATACCAAGATAAATATAATGGACTAGTTTTTTCCTCACGAGTTCTTTAAATTTGATGATTGGCAGCCAAAAATATAACACTGATTGATATAATACGTAAGACAACTGCAACATAAAGGTGAGAACGTTGGAGGACCTATATGGTGGTAAGATTTTTACATCTCACTTGAAGTGGTAAAATACTGTTTCTAAGTGGACTATGAAAAAGTAAGTATGTATAATAATTCTTAGGGCAACCATAAAACAAGAGAAAAAACTACTCAAAGAGACATAGTAAAATATATAATAGAGAAAATAAAATGGAATACTAAAAAATGTTCAGAGAAAAGAAGGCACGAAAGTGTAAAAGAGGAAAACAAAAGAGGGATCAAATAGAAAAAAAGTAATAAAATGACAGATTTAAATCCAGACATACAAGTAATTATATTAAATGTAAATGGCATACACACATCAATTAAAAGACAGAGATAGTAAGAATTGGTTAAATAAATGATCCAGCAATAGTCTGTCTACAAAATCTCACATCAACTATAAGCATATAGTTAGGTTAATACAAAATGATGGACTTAAGAAAGTGAAAAGCAACTCACAAAACGGAAGAAATTTTTTGCAAATTATATACCTGGTAAGGGACCTGTATCTGGAATATATAAAGTACTACTGCAACTTAACAATAAATAAAAAGACCAATTAACCCAATTAAAAAAGGGGAAAGGATCTGAATAGACATTTCTCCAAAGAAGATATATAAATGCCTAATAAGCATATGAAAATATGCTCAACATCATTAGTCATCAGGAAAATGCAAATCAAAGCAACAAGATACCTCTTCACAACTACTAGGATGGCTATAATAAAAAAAGACAGATAATAATAAGTGTTGGTGAGGATGTGGTGAGAGAGGAATCTTCATACACTGCTGGTGGGAATGTAAAATGATGTAGCTGCTTTGGAAAACAGTCTGACAGTTCACAGAAAGGTTAACTATAGAGTTATCATGTAACCTAACAATTCTCCTTTATATTTACCCAAGATAAGACAACAAATATACACACAAAAACTTGTGCATCATTTTAACTTTTGTCAAAAATCTCCTTTAGGTAAAACAATTTTTTTTTTTTTAGATGGAGTCTCACTCTGTCTCCCAGGCTGGAGTGCACTGGCACGATGTCGGCTCACTGCAACCTGCGCCTCCCAGGTTCAAGCGATTCTTCTGCCTCAGCCTTCCGAGTAGCTGGGACTATAGGTGCGCACCACCACACCCAGCTAATTTTTGTAATTTTTAGTAGAGATGGGGTTTCACCATATTGGCCAGGGTGGTCTTGAACTCCTGACCTCATGATCCATCCACCTCTGCCTCCCAAAGTACTGGGATTACAGGTGTGAATCACCGTGCCTGACCTCCTTTAGGTAAAACAATTCTAAAGGAGACAAAGGCAGTCTCAGGCTGGGCAGAGTGTCTCATGCCTATAATCCCAGCACTTTGGGAGGCCTGGGTGGGTGGATTGCTTAAGCCCAGGACTTTGAGACCAGTCTGGGCAACATAGTGGGACCACCATCTCTATAAAAATGCAAAAATTATCTGGGCATAGTGGCACATGTCTATAGTCCCAGCTACTTGGGAGGTGGAGGTAGGAGGAATGCTTGAGCCTGGGGGGTTGAGGCTGCAGGGAACCATGATGGTGTCACTGCATTCTAGCCTGGGCAACAGAGTGAGACCCTGTCTCAGAAAAAACAAAACAAACAAACAAACAACCAAACAACAACAAACAAAGGCAGTCTCAGACATCAGAAATCAAAGGAAAGAAGGGAATAAATTAGGTCTGCATTGTCAGCTCTTTAGAGTAAAATTATACACGTTCATATGTTCAGCTGCACATATAAGCCAGTTCTCCCACTCCTATTGGCATAAGAACATAAGCCAGTTCTCCCACTCCTATTGGCAAGTCATTTATAGAGAGCACACTCTTGAGTCAGAAGATTAAATATTTTGGCCAGGCATGTTGGCTCGTGCCTGTGATCCCAACACTTTGGGAGGCTGAGGCAGGAGGATCACTTGAGCCCAGGAGTTCAAGACCAGCCTGGGTAACGTAGTGAGGCCCCGCTTCTATAAAAAATTAAAAAATGGCCAAGTGTGGTGACACATGACTGTGGTTCCAGCTACTTGGGAGGCTAAGATGGGAGGCTCACCTGAGCCCACAAGGTTGAGGCTGCAATGAGCAGTGATTGCACCTGGATCACTGCCCTCCAGCCTAGGGAACAGGTAATACCCTGTCCGAAAAAAAAAAAGAAAAAGAAAAAGGAAAAGAAGATTAAATATTTGGCTTCATATCCGTGACTGCTATTTAGAAGTGTCTGAAATTAGAGGAGAATGTAGTCACCAACCCTACTATTTAGCAACTGACAATCTGTGTTTGTGCAAACCAGGACATGGATTTAGCAAGATTTTGCTGCTGCAGTTAGGGAATTTCAAAACAATATCTAGAAAGTTACTTTACTTAGATAAGGGACATAAGTATAACTTAGTGGAATGGACACTGAAAGGTACTTTTCTGAGCTGATAATTTTTTTTGCAATGATCAAATTACTTAAAACAAAAAGTAAATATAAAGTAGGAAAATAAAAAAGAAGAGAGCTCATTTAGTGTCCTGGGAGCGAAGCAATATCTTTTATTTACTCATTCATTCATTCACTCACTCATGCATTCCACAATTATTTATGGAGGGCCTACCATGTGCAAGGCGCTACACTAGGTGCCAGGGAAATAGATATAAAATTTTGCAGGGCCTTTCATGTTTCATTTGGTGAAACTGAAAGTAGAGACTAAATCATCTCTAAATTCCCACTGAGATGTGATGGCCAAAATGTACCCAAGTCTGACTTCCCTTGCTCTTGGAAAACCAGGTAAACAGAGATCAACAGTTTGTGAAGGTTCAATCTGCAGGGAAATCTCAGAGGACATGTCTCCAGGCTGTGTGGTCAGTCTTAGGTAGCAGAGTGCTCAGTGGGGCTCAGTGCCATTTTTTTTTTAACTTAATGGTGGCTGGCCTGTGGCCTCAGATGATGAGGGCTGGGGATATTGGGGAGGAGAGGCGGAGACTGGTGGTCACAGAGACTACCCTGGAGAAGAGACATGAGTTAGGTCAGCTGGACTGAGGAAAGAAGGCAGGAGGAAGATGGAAAAGGCAGTCCCAGAAGGGAAGAACTGAGGTGATGGGTTACAGAAGGAAGTCGCTGTTACATGCCTCATGTCCTACACTTACAGGAAGGAAAGAACACTCAAATATATTTAGAATAAATTTCTACCAACAAAAGGGGACTTTTAGAAAAGCAATTGTAACACTGCCTATGCGAGATTTGTCTTTTGTTTTTAATTTAAATACAACTAAGAAGTTATATTCCATTCTACTTGAGAGAGGAGAGAGGATGTGTGTGCATGCCTGCGTGCGTGTGTGTGTGCACGCGCCTGTGCCTTGTGATTAATTCATCTAACTTATCCTTGATTATGTAACAACCTACTGAGAATATTAGGTACATATACTAGTGAATTCAGCAGGATGTGGAACCACGAAGTTTCAGGAATCCCCAGGGGTCTTTGGGAGCCCAGAGTCTATCTGAGGGTTAGGGAGACAAGTGTGACCATCTAGAGAAGGTGACCCTAGGGTGAGTGTTGAACTATGACTTACTTACACAAGGTACTGTCAAACCTTAAGAACATTAGCAAACTGTCATCCTCCCAGCCTGGGGAATAGAGCAAGACCCTGTCTCTACAAAAAATTTAAAAATTAGTTGGGTGTGATGGTGTGAGCCTGTAGTCCCAGCTGCTTGGGAGGCTGAGGCAGGAAGATTGCTTGAGCCCAGGAGGTTGAGGCTGCAGTTGGAGCTATGATCGTGCCACTGCATTCCAGCCTGGGCAACAGAGTGAGACTCTGTCTCAATAAAAACAAAACAAAACAAAACAAAACCCAACCAGCCAAACAAGCCAAAACCAACCAACCAACCAACCAAACAAACAAAAGAACAAAGCAAACTGTCATCCTTGAAGTAGTAAGGCATACCATCATTTCTTAAGCCAGGTGATTCATTCATATTTCATTTTGAAGTTTATGTTAAAACTGTTTTCTGTTTGTGTATCAAGCTGACATATCTATTTTTTTTTAAATAGGTAATTTCATGCTCCCAAAATGGGACATAAAGTGGTTGTCTTCGACATTTCTGTCATCAGAGCCTTGTGGGAAACTCGTGTGAAGAAGCACAAAGCTTGGCAGAAGAAGGAGGCGGAAAGGCTTGAGAAGAGTGCCTTGGAGAAGTACGTGTTTTCTCAACCTAGTCTTGTAGCTTGTTTGGTGAATAAGGGTTTGGACAGGCAGCAGTTGCGTTGTGAAGGAGGATGCTTTTCTTCTGGGATTTCTCACTGTTGCTAACATTTTCCTCATTAAACTTCAGAGCCTTACACTGTTGCTCAGTACAAATATGCAGTTCCTATGATAGCAACACCCCTGGTTATAAGGACCTACCTACCACCCAGGCACCGTGCTAGGCACGAGGAAGACAGAGATGACGTGATAAATCCCCCTACAGTAAATGCTGTAGCAGGCTGCCTAGCTAGAGTTCACTGAGCTAACTCACCAGGCTGTCTGGCGCTCTGGAGACCATCTGACTGCCGTCTAGGGCAGCTTGGGGCTACTCTGTTGTGCACTTCAGCCCTTCCCCATTGAGCCGAATTCTAGGTAAGATTCATTGTGTTGGTGTCATTTTTACTTGGATGAAATGGTGTCATTTGCCTATCATATACGGTCATGAAATGTGAGTAAAAGAGAGTTATGTATATGAACACCAAGTCGAGTGCTTTGGAAAATTTACAAAGTAGAAAGATTGCAGGTGGCTTTGCATATGTCTGCAATTTTTATTCCCTGTGGAGAAACCAGAACTGGAACTCATGGATGATGCATTAGGGGTGCTGTTTATATAAAATAGACACAATGGGATTCTGATTGGCAGACCCATTCTCAAAGAAAGTCCCAACCCTACATCAAGTTGGCCAATGATGGTATATTTGCACACTTTAAGTTAAAAACAAGATGTGTAGGGGCCGGGCGCGGTGGCTCATGCCTGTAATCCCAGCACTTTGGGAGGCCGAGGCGGGTGGATCACGAGGTCAGGAGATCGAGACCATCCTGGCTAACATGGTGAAACCCCGTCTCTACTAAAAATACAAAAAATTAGCCAGGCATGGTGGCAGGTGCCTGTAGTCCCAGTTACTTGGGAGGCTGAGGCAGGAAGGCAGGATAATAGCATGAACCTGGGAGGCAGAGGTTGCAGTGAGCTGAGATCAAGCCACTGCACTCCAGCCTGGGTGACAGAGCGGGACTCCGTCTCAAAAAAAAAAAAAAAATTCATAAGGTGCGAATGTATCTACATTCTTGGTTCTCCACTTTTATTAGCTTTTTGGATTAAACAAATACCTATTCTGATCATGCTTGATAATTAAGCTGCTACTGTATTCATCACAGTGGTTTCAGGTGGTTACCACCATCCCTAATTTGCAGATGAGGAAACTGGGACTTAGGTAAGTTGCTCAAGTTCACACACATGGTAAGCGGAAGATGTGGCCAAGCCCTTGCCTCTATGTAATGCTGTAATCACAGGTAGTTAGAACATCTTTTCTCTTGCCACTAATCTGAGATTGTCCAATATGAAGTAAAGGATTGCTTGAGGAGTTTGAGACTAGACTGGGCAACATAGTGAGACTCTGTCTTTACAAACAAACAACAAAAAAGAATTAGAACCCTTAAACCAGAAAGCCCACATGGCAGTGCATCCAAGAGACCTACACTCACATAAATCATACAAGGTCCCAGAGCCCAAAATAGCCCTGAGCCCTGCTTTGATTTCCTCCACACACCTAGCATCTGGGGTTACTCTAGACAGAACAAGCTCGCTGCACGGAGGCCCACGCCCTTGGCAGTGGGGAGGGGAGTTAGGGAACACCTGTAGCTGATTCAACTTACTGAGGGTCTTGGAAGAGAAGCCACCTGCAGACACCTGGGGTCTGCAAACTGTGTTCTCTCGTCCGCTTTGGAGTGGGATCTGCCCCTTCATCCCTGTCTTTTGTTGTGGTGTTAACAGCTTCATGCATCTCATGTACATAGGTTTGAGCTTGACTTGGGCTCAGTGTCACTGAGCTTGTGCAGTATCTCATCTTAATCTAAGACGGAAAACTTCTTGGGTATTTATTTGGCTTTTCTAGCCCAAGATAAGAAAAACAGTCACCAAGTTGGCTGGGCAGATAAGGAGGAATGTGAGGTAGGGCTGGGGAGGAATGTGCATGTTTAAGAGAGGAACTTAGTTTCTCAGGCTCCTCAGAAATGGGGGTAAGTAAATTTGCCTTCTTTACAGGTGTTTTTGAGCTTCCATAATATAATTCATACTCTGATCATTAGTACTATTTGAGGGTTAACTTTTCGTTTCTCAGGATCTGTTTACTGTGCAGAGGAGGAAATAATAGGTTGAAAAATTAATGCTTGCCTGATTATAAAAGGCAACTATTTGGTTAATTTAAATTTACTGAAACAAATAAAACCTTCCAGCTTGTTCTGTTACCTCACTTTAGAGTATTTCATCCTGTAATGCTGTAGTTGTTCCATGAAGTATATACCGACACTTAAAAATTATAAGTAGAGATAAAATATGAAATATCACTCTCTCCGAATGAAACTGGATCATTTAGAGCAGAGGTTCCCAAGCCCTGGGCTGGCCTGTTAGGAACTGGGCCGCACAGCAGGACCGCCCGAGCTCCGCCTCCTGTCAGATCAGTGGCAGCGTTAGATTCTTATAGGAGCACAAACCCTTTTGTGAATTGTGCATACGAGGGATCTAGGTTGCCCGCTGCTTATGAGAATCTAATGCCTGATGATTTGAGGTGGAACAGTTTTATCCCGAAACCATCCCCCCAACCCCTCATCCGTGGAAAAATTGTCTTCCATGAAACTGGTCCCTGGTGCCAAAAAGTTGAGGACCGCTGATTTAGAGGGAGAAATTAAAGAGTTATTGTTAGGCTCTAAGTGAAGATTTTCTTCTCCATTGAGGCTGTTTGCCATCTGGGCTTAAGGAAAAGGTATTTTATTTTCACATTTATTGATTTAATTAGTAGAACTCTAATGGCATTTTTTTGGGTATGTTTATTGAATATTTGGCATTCTACTAAAACTGAGTTGAGAGGAAGATTTCACGTTCAATTATACGGGTGATAGAGTGAAAAGACAATGAATTTTATTCATTTTAATTACTCTCAAGGAAGAGAATGGAATTAAAAAAAATAGTTTATATTTCCTTCACTTTCCTATCATTAGGTTTCAAAGGGAATAAGATATAAAATATTTAAGAAAGAAAATAAGACATAAAATAAGACAAAAATACTTAAGAAATAAATAAAAAATAGATTTGGTATATAATTATTTTTAATGGGGTACATCTAATTTTCTTTTTTCTCCATTTTATATTGGCTGTACCAAAATATGTGAAATATTTATAACAATTTGTAATATGTGCTATAGGAATACTATATTACATAGGGATGAACTGGTATCATCTCATTATATTGCTAGGATCTGCCCTTAGGTTCAGTCTAAGAAATGAGGAAAGAAAAGTTAGAGACATTAATCTGAAAAGTGCCCACTGAATACAAGAACTTGCAGTGACTGTGCTGTTGGTTTTAAAAATTTTGGAGCGATTGCTTCTAACAGAAGTTCCAGCAGCATGTCTTTGACCTGGAGTCTGCCCCTTGTCCTGACTGCTATAGTAAGATCTAAATCTACAGGTAGATATTTAAAATTCATTTTTATCATATAGTTATAAAACTAAATCCCACGGAAAAGCTAATAAGGAAAAGCAACAATTCCAAGCCCCTACAACATCTCCCAGAGGAGCCCACTTCTCTTTCAGCACTTTCTTCTGCTTTTAAATTCGTATCCCTTCATGTGCTGACACACACACACACACACACACACACACACACACATATATATATATTTTAATTTTTTTGAGACAAGTCTCTTTCTGTTGCCCAGGCTGGAGTGCAATGGTGTGATCATAGCTCACTGCAGTCTTGACCTCCAGGGACTAAGAAGTCCTCCTAGCTCAGCCTCCTGAGTAGCTGGGACTAGAGGCATGTGCCACCAGCCCCGCTTTTTTTTTTTTCTTGTGATTTTTTGTAGAGACAGGGGTCTCACTTTGTTTCCCAGGCTGGTCTCAAACTTTGGCCTCAAGTGTTCCTCCCACATGAGCCACCTTACCCGGCAATATTTTTAAATCTATCACTTTCGTTACATTACTTATAGACTCCATATGTAGATCCTGAAGCCCCGACTCATTGATTGCTGGGTACTTTTCCCTGATGCAACTCACTGGGACTGAGACCTATAGAGCTGTGCCAGCCAGTGCTGTCAGCAAAATACTTTTTTTCAAATGTTCCAGCTTCCCTCAGCTGAATGGCAAGCATGAAACTCCAGCAATATCTGAAATGGTTTCTTAAAAGCAAAACATCTGATTAAGAAGGTGACATTTGCATGTAGACCTGGGGTGCCAGCCTTGCAGAAATCTAAGAACAAGGGTTCCAGGCAGGCAGAACAGCAAATGCAAATAAATGCCCTGAGGCAAGCGTTTTCCCGGATATTCAATGAAGAGCAAGGAGACCAGTGCGACTGCACCAGAAGATCAAGTGAGGGCAGAGGGGATGAGGTCAGAGCCACAAGGGGAGGGACACAGGTCTGTAGGGCCTTGTAGATCATGCTGTGTGAGAAGAGAAGCCAGTAAGAGGTTTGTGTGGGCAGAGGCATGATGTGATTGACTTTGTAAGAGGCTCACTCAAGCTGCTGGGTGAGTTTGGACCACAGGGAGGCAGGGGTGGTGACAGTAAGCAGAAGATGGTGGCTTGGACCAGCGTGGAAGCAGTGAAGATGATGAGGAGTGGATGGATTCTGATAAAACTGGCCATATTTGTTGATGGATTTGATATGTGGTATGAAGGAAAGCATGGAGTCAAAGATGACCCTGAGATTTTTGGCCAGAGCTGCTGGAAGCCTTTTACTGAGTTTTGGGGTCGAAGATCAGGAGTTTGTGCTGATCAGAAGTTTGTCACTGGGATCACACGTTAACTTTGAGATGCCTTTTAGGCATCCAGGTGGAGATGTTGGAGAGGCAGTTTGATACAGGAGGCTGGATTCAATGAGAAAGTCTTGGCTGGAGATATACATGTGAGCATGGTCAGTATATAGATGTATTTAAAGCCACAAACTGGAAGGTATCTAAAGAACGAGTGCAGACAGGGAAGAGGCCCAAGGGTTGGGTGTTGGGCACTTGGAAATCCAGAGGCTGAGAAGATGAGGAGGAAGCAGCACAGTGTCTAGAGAGGTAGGAGGGTAACCAGCAGAGTGAGGCATCCTGGAAGCCAAGTGCCAAAAAGCCTTCGAGGAGGAGGAAGTGATTGGCTGTGTCAAATGCTACAGATGGATCAGATAAGATGAGGACTGGGATTTGCCCACTGGGTTAGCAAAGTGGTGGTCATTGATGACCTTGATGAGAGGCTTGTTTCAAAAGACAAGTGAGGGTGACTGAAGTGGATTCAACAGAGAATGAGGGAGAAGAGAATTGTAGCTATGAGCAAGGACAACTCTTTCATGGAGTTTTGCTATAAAGTGGAGCAGAGACACAGGCCCATGGGAGACATGGGGTGGGGTTAAGGATGGGAGAAATAACTGCATATTTGTGCACTGAAGAGAAGGATGCACAAGCGGAAATACTGATGAGGGAGAACTTCTGTGGTAATGCCCTTGAATCAATGGGAGGCTGGCCTTTGTGACCATGGGCAGGGTTTGGCCGTCGGTAGGATCTTGGAGTGTTCTTCCAGGGGAACAGAAAGGAAGGCAGAGGCTATGGGAACAGATGCAAATAGGTGGTGTAGATGCCCAGGGAGTTTGTGGAAATTCTGTTGTCTTTCATCTCTTTTCTCTGGGAACCAGGAAGTTCATATCATGAGTTGAGAATGAGGATGGGGTGGGTGGTAATGGAGTTTTGACTGGAAGGGAGAAAATGTGAAACAGTCATCTGGGGCTTGGGAAGAGGAATAGTCTTGGGAGGTATGGTATGACTCCTGGGCAACAGTGAGGGGCCCCTGAGTTAGTGGTTATCCATTCAAAGCCAGACCAGTGTGCAAGGTTGTGAGTTTTCCTTCATCTCATTTACTGTGTGGGGGCTGGTGTAGAGCAGGGAGATAATGGGATACAAACTAAACTGTGATTTGTTCAAGTGACGGCAAGAGAGGGGCAAGGGAGTTAAGGATGGATGCCAGGAGATGATTACAATGGGAGCCATGAAATATATTTTTATAAAAGGCCTATTGAAGGGTAATTGACGCCCCGATCCAAATGAAGGATTCACGCATTTAAAGTGTAACAATCTGGGAACAAAATTTGAAAAAAAAAAACGATATGTTTTGCCATAACTGCATGATCATATTCATACCACTTTTTTTATTTCTTTTTTTTTTGTTGAAGATCGGACGTCCTCGCCTCCCTGTCGCCCAGGCTGGAAGTGCTGTGGAAATCCGGATCTCAAGGGCTCAGAAATGCCAAGCTCCCGGCCTCCCAGGTTTACGGTATACCCCTTTCTCCATCTCTCCCGCACTCAGCCTGCCAGCATCCCCAAAGTA